TCCAGGCCGAACAGGCCCAGATCTTTGTCCCAGCGGGACAGGGAGGAACAATCCTTTACTTGCAGGAAGCATTTTGCAGGGAGAGGAGCAGGTGTTTTGGTAACTGCTCTGCTGAGGCCCATTGGAGAGACGAGCGGCAGAGGAGCGCCGTGAGCGCGCGCGTCTCCGCGAGCCGAGCGTTCCCTCGGCGCCTCCGCGCGCTCGCGCTGCTTCCGCAGGCACCCGCTTACCAGGAGGTCGCTGTGAGGGATGGAGAGCAGCAGCTTGATGAAGGTTTGCAGCGCGTTGTCCAGCGCGTCGTCCCCGTACAGGCGGAAGACGCCGAAGTTGACGTAGCTGCCGCTGAGCGCGGCCTTCAGCATGGAGAAGCAGATGGAGATGCCCTTGAGCTTCAAGGCGTAGACTTGATCCTTCGGGACCTCCCCAAGTGTTAGGATACTATTCCCTGCAGGAGCACAGAAACAGACTCAGCATTGCAGCAACCGCAGCCAGGTCCCTTCTCCCTCAGGGTACGGGGGTAACAAAGCAGCAGGGCTGTCAGGAAGCTGGTCAGAAACGTTGGCCATTCACTTCCCAGCCAAAAGGTGGGAACCATTAAGGTTAGCAGCCAGATTCCAGCAGGAGCCAGGCAGAGCGCGGCTGCAGGCACGGAAACAGGGCAGCACGAGGACAGAATTGCCCTCTGCTTGCTTTACAGGTGCCCCTTGGCCACCCTGCGCGCTCCCGGGGCTCAGCTGACTCCCTGCTCTCCTCTTTCTCTTCCATCTGATGGCAAACACCATAGCAGAGGGCTTGGCCAGCAGGCGTTGAGCACGTGTCCGGGTGCTGCTTCCCGGCCCGGCCTCACGCTCCGGGCTGGCGAGTGCCCCGGCGAGCGGAGGGGACACGGGCACACTGAGGCCACCCGGTTCCCACCTGCCCTCACCGTAAGTCGTGATCATTTTGCTCGTTTCTCGGAAAAGCAGGATGCCGTTGGGCGAGGACACGTCAAACTGGAGCCGCTGGGATCTAAAGGAAAAGCAGGGAATGGCTGTGAGCTCATACGTATCAGCGTGGAGACAGAGCCGATATTGTGGCACCTCCGCGTGCTGCCATGGACTGGGACACTCTGCTCTGGGATCTATTCACAAGAGGTCAACAGGCTGCACCCGTTCCCAAAGCCAGAGAGGGGACAGCCGCGCGGGGACAGACGAGCTTTGCTGTCTCCGAAGAAAGGGCCTGTATTTCCCGCACTTCAGGAATATGACAAGTCGGAGTCTGGAAATCCGGCCTTGGCAACAGCCACCAGGCCGCTGTCACAACCCCAGCGAACGTCTCGGAGGGGAGCGGGCTCACTAGCTCCTATTCCCAACGGCACCGAGAAGCCAGGGCTTGGCACTGCCTCCCTGCCGCGGCACAGGGAGCTGGGAATCGGAGCGCAGGGGCTTTTCCCGGTCACTTTGCTACCGGCGCGCGGACTCATTCTACTGCGGAGCTGCCGCTTGGAGGGCCTGGCAGGACGGATTCTCGAGAGCTCTCGAGTGACAGTGTCTGGATCTCCTGCCCTTTCTGCCGGGCTCCGACAACGGTCCCTTCCTCTCGGGCTGTGCTCGGCTGGCTGCCTGCCAGGGCTGGCGCCTGGCAAACCGCCCGCGCCGGCCACGCAGCTCCTGAATTATCCGCGCAGTGGCAGAGGCTCCTCGTTAGCAAGGAGCAGACGCAGCCGTCCTGCTGCTGACTGCACAACGCTCACTTTAAACACTGGTTTTAAATATTAATACGGGCTGCCTCCATCTTAGACGCTCGGGACATTCATGCTCATTGATCTCGCC